AGTCGTTCTTGCTGTGAATTCTGTCCCAAATAGTTCTGCCCCAACAATGTTGTCCTCAGCTAGATGAATGAACACGTGGGAATGCGCGTCGCTTCGCGGTCGAACCTGGTGCGAAATCCTTATTGTAGGCTGAAATTGTTGCGTTAATTTGGTACAGCAGTTTGTGAAGTGGAGGGTCTTAGCCTTTCTCTGGGAGACCGAAATCCATTTATGCAAATGTGCCGCGTCTCCGTCGCCTCGATCTGGTTGTGCCATGGCAACAGGGCGACGCCCCCCAACCGACGATCATATTGACGCCGGCGGTTCTAAAATGATAAAATGTACCCAATTGACATGAATCGCTGAAACTTAGGCATGGCCAATGCGAAGGGCTGTATGTTGCCCGCCACATTAACTGGAGCGGTCAGCCAGATGCCGGATAGATCATTATTATTACGTTTCTTTACAATATTTATATACATCATTATTTTAAGAAGTTTACAGTGAACAATGATAATTACTATCACATTTGAGTTTTATATTGTTTCTTTATAATGCACTTCATTGTGTGCAATGGGAAGTGGCGCAAAAGTCTATTTAGCATTTATTTTCTGCTTATCATATTTATTTATTCTTTGGAGGAAAAAAAAACATGTGGCCCGTGGAAAGTTGACTCGCTATTTAAGTGGCCCAGGGACTTCCATCCCGACTCCCTGGATTAAAGCAGATGTTAGCGATGACGTCGGGTAATTATACATTTGGTTTTATTCATACATGAACAGCAGAAATCAAACTACTGAATAGAAGTCACCAGAGCAGATAACCTGCACATTCAAATTTAAGAGTAAAACTTGATCGGTTGCGTCCCTTGTCTGCTTAGGATTTAAAATTTTAACATCTTTTTTGGTGGGTTTTTATTTTATTTTTTTTTCAACGTGACCTCGATTCCTTTTTTTTTTTTAAAAGTTAGAAATAAAGTGAAATGTCCTTAAATTTATTTTAAGATATGCTTGAAAGAGAATCTTTTTATTTTTCCTAATGTCTAAGAAAACAAAACAAAAAGCAACGAAATTTTAGTGTGTGCCACAATTATAGAACCGCCAGGAGTCGCAAAGCATTGTGGATGAGAGGCATTTGTACAGTAACGGCTTCTTCACACCTCCCCCCTCCTCCCCCCCCCCAGCAAACCCCATTTTTATTTCTGTGTGCTTCCATTCTACGGGTGATAGAAGGGGAAAGTACTTGGCAAACAATCACGTGATCGGGGTAATAATATCAAGGACATGGCAAAAAGATAGACGAGGTGTTCTAAAGTTGTGGTTTCTTCCAAGGCCAACGGACTTCTTTTTCTTAAGTTCATGGATCTTGTCAGGGTGGAATGCGTGCAATCCATGTGAAGTAAAAAAAAAAAAATGTTTAAATAGTGGAACAAGGTATGTTTAGGCTTGAAAACGGACGTTTCGGCTAAATGACTTCTTTATCAGACAAAACAAAACATCAAATAAAAAATATTTTAATTTAAAAAGAAAAAACTTACGTCTTCCTAGATCGAAATGTGGTTCTCTCAATCACTGTGGGGCAAATTCAATTTTTTTTTAAAGTTGTTTTTATTTATAGTTTTGTATTGTCTGCTTGAGGAAGCGTTTCGCCGATACTTCCTTTTAACTGTTCTTTCTCTTTTTTTTTTTAATGCCGAGACATATCTTGTTCCACGATTTAATGACTTAAGATTAATTGTTTAACTGTGTATTTTAGAAGAAATGACCCTTGAGCATTTACTCTTTCATCACCTTCATTTTATTACCACTAGGTAGGGGAAATTAATAATCCTTTTTGTAAGATTTCTAAAGGAATATTACATAAAGAAAATCTGTTTAAAAATAAATGATTCTACATATCTTCTCTGGCGTTGGCGGTTAAGAGAGCAGCGGTCCTCCACGGGTTACACGGTCTTATTACTCTATATAGAAGTCGTCATTTTCGACAAATTGCAGAGTTTTGTTCATAGGGGAAGAGTAAAAAAAAAAATATCTTGACCCTCCCCGATGGCACTTACCCTAGATACGCAACTGCATCAATCTCAACGTTGTTAAAATGTACATTTTGGAAATCAATCAGTTGTTGAGTATAGACAGTGTTGAATATACGTTCTTACAACAATTATATTAGGATTCTATGATATAAGAGAGGGAAAAAAACCGGTCCAAAGCAAGTTCCAACACGTTCAATCAAGTCTGATATAATAATAGGGCATTATCATTAGGTCGGTGTGACTGGGGTCAAACTGCCCTGACCGATCTTTTCATGACAGGTGAGTGGCGGGTAGAAATCTCACCGGCATTAAGTGTGTGTGGGGGGGGGGGGGGGGATGGGGGCAGTTCTCACGAGTTCGAAACGTGATCACGTGAAATAACGAGACGGGGAGGTGACGGGGACGGGAGGGGTGGGGTGGGATAATGGGGGAGGGGGTATGTGGCGTACAGGGCAAACGAAGATAGAAGAGACCGTAGGCAGATCTGACCTTTTTATGTCAAGGACACACCGCTTCTCGATTTCATTGGTTGAGGCGGATCTCTGGGACTTAGCGGTTCTCAACCTGTGGGTCGTGACCCATTTGGGGGAGGGGGGGGTTCGAACGTCCCTTTACACAGGGATCGCCTAAGACCATCGGAAAACACATGTTTATGAAGTAGCAACGAAAATAATTTTATGGTTGGAGGGGTCACCACAGTATGAGGAACTTTATTAAAGGGTCGCGGCATTTCGTAAGGTTAAGAACCACTGCTCTAGCTGTACAAGGTCAAAGTTCGACTTTTGATTGCGTTATTGTGACAAGTCAAGACGTGCGAACGTTAGGGCTGGCCATTAGGCCTGGAAATTATATCTATATATATATATATCAGTGGTTCTTAACCTTTTTGGGGGTACCGAACCACACAAGTTTCATATGCGCATTCACCGAACCCCTCTTAATAGGAAAAATAAAACATGATTTATTTTTTCTGATTTTTTCAGGACCTCCGCCGAACCCCTGAGACTGACTCACCCAACCCCTGGGGTTCGATCGAACCCAGGTTAAGAGCCACGGATATATATATATATATATACAATGATTAGTAATTTAATCATTGAAAAATAAATAATAACCTTTTGGGACTGCTGAGGCTACTTTTTATTTGCCTTTCAATTTGTAATTGTGATTTACCTTGCGGCAATCGCTTAATCATTATTTACTATTCGTATGTTAAGTTTTAAAATTCTTGCATACTCCAAAAAGGAACATTAAAAAAAAAGTAGGACAAGCAGGTGTTCGTTTTGTTCGGCCATGCTTTCAGGCCATCCTGTGGTATCATTGACTGTCCGTCGCTATTAGCTCATGAATAGTATGAGTGACTGTCCGGCACTAACAGGTTGAATTTTATTATCAGTGAAGAAAGTCACTTCAAAAATATGAATGAATCGTTGTAAATAATCATTACATTTATTTATCGGGATACGAAAGAAAATATGCTGTAATGTTGAGTTGAATGATGCGCTTAAGAAAATGCCCGATAACTGGGCAAAAGGAAATTCTTTAAAATACTTTTTCTCTAGCCCCCTCTCTCTGTATCTTTCTCTCTCTATGTCTTTCTCTCTCTCTCTCTCTCTCTCTCTCTTTCTCTCTCTCCCTCTCTCTCTCTCTCTCTCTCTCTCTTTCTCTCTCTCTCTCTCTCTCTCCCGGTTTATTTATATATATATATATTGTCCACAGAAAGCTGTATGGAAAGAATCACGTTTGAACTATACTTTTCCAAAACTGTTAACATCGCCTTGAGTCACTCAGCCAGGATGGGAATTACTGTAAGACTAGGTCATTTGTCAACAAACAAGTAAAAAAAAAACTTGGTTCTGAAATGTGTATTGTAAGACAATATCTTATTTTAAGATAATATCATATTTTAAGCGGATAAGCAATTTATTGTTCAAAAAATAAATAAATAGAATTTAAAATCTCATATCTAAAAATAACATATTTTGATTTATTTAAAACAATGCATAATTGTTTTCTGACTTTTAATATTCAGTTAATTTGCATTTATAACCATCTCAACACGAGGGTCATCTGTAGAGAAAAATAAACATTGTAATCGAACAGTGGAGAATGACCGGATAAATTGACTAGTTAAAGGGAAAGAATCACACCTGAATCATCAAGCATTGAACGGTAAGTTTTTTTTGATGGCGTAAACAGTGGCGTAGTTGAATTTCTGCCACCGAGGGCGGAGTTGGGGATATTAAAACATGAAACAAAACTTTGCAGTTTGCCGAAAATGCAGCCCTTAATATATAAGGGGAAAATTGCAACAATTGCAACTAAAGAGGGGGGGGCGCAAAAAGTATCCCTGCCCGTTCCTACGCCACTGGGTGGTTAGTGATTTAATATTCTATATGATAAGAAAGTTTGTACTTTTGAAACGGTAAAGAAAGTCATTGATGATCACTTGAGTCACGTTCAGTTCAAGTAGTTGTGTTCTGACACGGGCTGATGATGGTGTCATGAGTCACGTTTAGCTCAAGTACTTGTGTTGGACTTGGGTAAAAAAAAAAAACTAATTTGAGATTCCACTCCTACTGATCAACGTTTACGATATTTAGCGTTAACTCAAGTTATATTCTATGATGGCATCTATTTTCATTCGAGCATGGAGACGGAAAGCCATGGATTGCTCTAAATGGAAGGATGTGGTTGGAGCAGGCCAGGGCCCTACATGGGCTGTAATGCCATTGATGATGATGACATCTATTTTCATAATATATTGGTTTTAAAAATCGACTTAAGAAATTATATTTTATTAAATGCCATAGACATTAAGGGTCTACAAAAGAATGAGAGAGAGAGCATCGTTTTAAAGTTGTTAAAAAACACGGACTTATTTTCCCTTCGTCAAACATTATGCATGTGATTAACCGTGCTATTTTTGTATTGATATTTTAATTTTGTTTCGTTTAATTGTTGAATTTAAACCAAAAAAAAAAAAAAAGAATATTACTGTTTTCTTTTAACACCGCTACAGAATGAAATAGTTGTTTAGACTTAAGATTTGGTGTACACATGACGATGGGTGTCCTGTACTTAGATAAACCTGTTTATCTTTTACTGGCGATCGCATTCAAGATACCGCATGTGAGATTAGGTAAGATAACTATATCAAGTTTTAAAATGTTGAATTTTAAATTAACAAAAATAAAATAGTGTATAATTTTTTTTAAAGTCTTTGTTTAATATATTTTATATTTTTTAATTAAGTTTTTCCAATTTTCTTTTCTCAGTACTGACAACGTCCATTTTTGTTGTTGTTGTAAATATGTTAACATCTTACACGGTGTAATGTGATCGTCTTGAAATGTAGAATGAGAGCATCTGTGTATGTTTGTTGAGTGAATATCTAAAATGTAATGAGTACATATCTATATGAGTAATTATTACATATCCTAATGTGTAGTGATTAATTTCTAAATGTGCAATGACCACATCTCTAAATGCGTACTTATTACATCCCTGAATGAGTAATGGTTTACATCTCTGAATGTTTAATGAGTCCCATCTTCCACACTAGGAGTCGTGCTGCCCAGTGTATCGCCCCATTGCCCGCCAGCAGAAGAAGGCAAACCTTACACACTGGTTCTAAACTTGACTCTCCCTGCGGGCAACACAAGCAAGAAGATATCGCTGGAGACCGTGGAGGCCGCTATCGCCATCTGTAACCTGACCGGACACTGCAAGGACTTCTTCCCCAACGACATGTCCACCACCGTCGCCGTGAACGAGTCTACCAGAGATCTTCATTTAGTCGTTAGCATATCCAACGCGTCTCGACTTACCAAGGGGGTCGTTGGAAGATGGGACGTCATATACATTTATCCAATATTTAGTTGCATGTTTCTCATCTTTAGTAAGTTTAAATATTATTTTTAAATCCTTTATATTCAACACAATTTTCTTTTTGGTTCCTGACTGGAAAAAAATAATTATGACGGCTAATTGACCCACTTCCCGTCAACCTATCGAGCTAAAACTTGGCACATAAACTCGTTGCCGATGACAACACGTTCTACCAAATTTTCAGCCCCACCTCCCGAATCCCAACCCCATGAATAAATAGTTCCTGCTTTTTTAAAGGGAAAGATGAAGGAAATTTGATTTCACAGATTTCACAAAATGAAATTCTCGATAACTGCGCTAAATGAAATTCTTGATCTGTTTTTTTTTTTTTAAATATCGCAAGGACTTTTAGTACGTAATATTTCCTTTTCTTTTCCCTGAAATAATGGATGAAATAATGGATGAAATAATGGATGAAATAATGGATGAAATAATGGATGAAATAATGGATGAAATAATGGATGAAATAATGGATGAAATAATGGATGAAATAATGGATGAAATAATGGATGAAATAATGGATGAAATAATGGATGAAATAATGGATGAAATAATGGATGAAATAATGAATGAAATAATGGATGAAATTAATGGATGAAATAATGGATGAAATAATGGATGAAATAATGGATGAAATAATGGATGAAATAATGGATGAAATAATGGATGAAATAACTCTCTGAAGCAAAGGCGCTTTCCTCATGAGAATTTTAATATAATTTAGGAGCGTGAAAAAAAAATACAGTTACGTGCTTGGGGCGTGGGGGGGGGCACTTATTTTGATTCTTATCAAGTGTGTAGCCTGGGTGCGTTTTCTGACAAACGTTCAGCCCCCCTCCCCCCACCTGCAAAATGTTTGATTTTTCATTTTATAAAGGATTTATACGAAGAACTGTTTTTAGGGATTGCTTTCTTTTTAAAAAAGGAATCAAATACAAACATACAAAAATAATAATACATATGTCATCAACAACAAACATATTCAAAGCTTTTGGGGAAATGTCAATCTGGTTCTGGTAGTCTTCGTTGCTGCATCCATGTACTGGCATCTGTGCAACGGTTGGGGGAATGGTGTTGCTAGACTAACAGCTCCTAGCAGATGCCGGGGTAGCCTTGAAGCTTTCGACCGATGTCGAGTTCACAGCGGCATTGTGAACACAGACCTCAAGATTTGAATACACTATACAAAGATTAGGGAAGTTAAAAGAAAATTTCTGAAGTTTGTTGTACATAAATACCACATTGTTAAAAAAATATCTTGTAATATTTTATTGCTGTTATATCTTCAATCAGAAATATTTAAATACTCCAAGAAATGGATTACAATTTTTTTAATGTCCACGTTGTTTTCAGCCAACTTTCGAAACATCCCATGTTCTAAACATATGGTGGCCGATGAGCTTCATGTGAACTGCAGCACACACAAGATATACCCACGAGCAAAATGTCTGTTTACATTGGATTTGATCCATGTGAGATCGTGTATTACCTTATAAATAGCTTAGCAAACATTAAAAAAAAATGTTATGATATTATGTGTATTAAACAAATATTGATATCCCATGCCGATAAATATGTGTTTTCCTCCTAAAAGGCGCAGTCTGGAGTTACTAGTACAAATGTAACATTTGAAAATATCAGGATGTCTGGTGACCCGACGTATTACGTTTTTACGTGCAGGATTGTGGTACGATTTCCTGACGTACCACGAGGTGTGCACACAGCGTCGGTCGCGGTGTATCCTTCTCTGACCGGAGATGACAAGTTCATTGAGTTTGGTGCGAATGTTTCATTGACAGTGAACCTGGGTACGTTCATTTTACGCAGGGGTCTGTCTTGTGTTTGTATGCGTGTGAACGTGTTAGTTGTATAGGCGGTGACAAATATAATCCCGTTGTACGCTAGTGTACAAAATAAAAATGTACCTTTACATGCCAAGTTCATAAATTAAACATACAAAGTACGAAAGCAAGAACATTCCAGAGCAGAGGCGTAGCGTGGTGGGGGCAGGGGGGGACAGATGTCCCCGGGCGCCAGCAAGTTAGGGGCGCCAAAATGTGCTTTGATATTATTTTATTGATGAAAATAATGGGTTTGAGAGTTGAAAAAAAGAAAAAGGGGCGCTTTAAAATGGATCTCGTTCTTGGGCGCGAATCTTGTCCCCGGGCGCCAAACACCCTCGCTACGCCACTTTTCCAGAGAGACGCTAAAGAAACTTCTGACAAACTTCTGACCTAGATTAAAGTAATCACAAGGAAAAAAACTATAATGAAATGCAATTTATTATTATGGCTTTTTAAATTTATTTTACCCGAATAATCATACCATATCAATATAATCTACTATTACATGTACGAGTAGGTTATACATATTTTTAGTAAGGAGGTGATTTAGTCTTATGTAGTTGTTCATACCAATAATCGTATATATATATATATATATATATATATATATATATATATATATATACACACACACACACACACATGTGTAGGACTAAATGCTCTATTTCCAAGAAATTCCGGTGCTGACAATGAGAAACTGTCCCGCCATCATTGAAGAAGGACAGCTGATCACATGTGTCTGTGACCGGGCTGACCACAGCCTGGTCAGCGTGTCCATAGCCTGGCTGGATGACGGCACGCCAACAGTATTGGGCCGTGCCGGGTCTCTAGCCTTCACCGCGAACAGACAAACAAAAGGTAAGTAACATCCACTGCCACGGTCAACGGACGACCTACGCACAGTATTTAATGAGACCCCAAGTGTCGTGTTTAATACTACAGTTGTATATCATGTTCATAAAGGCATGTCACACACACGCACACAAATTCAATGTGTTCGAATTTTAAATAGTTCCTAGAATGTGTATTAATTTCTAAATTCTCAAATACATTACAGCATTTATTTGCAATGGAACGACTTTTCTTGGCTGGGATATAAGTCCTGTTCAATACAAGCCTGAAATTATTGGTATTTATTGCTAATATATTTGTATTCACGTTTACTGGTATTTTTAAATCCCAAAATGTTTTGATCAGAATTCTTAATAAAAGAAGTGAAAATTATTTTTACGTGAAGTTTTTTTTAATATGTAAATTAGTGGATTTATACTTAATAAAACAAGCAGACATTTAAAAAAATGTAATAAATTTGCCCAAATACCTATAGATAATACGTTATTTAAGTTTTACAGACTGTCGAATGAACAGACATACACTTTAAGAGCTACGAAAAAAGAATTTTTAATCAGATGAATGCGTTTTTTTCAATCAGTTATTACCTAATGTTGTATTTGACTAAAGGTATGCTATGAGTTGTTGTTTTCACGAAAGCAGCTGAGCTAAAGCAATTTAGTCAATTTAGTCAATTCCTAAGATTTTATCCCAAAATATCCACTTGCATTCAATAAAGTACTACAATAACTAGATACCTAGTAAGATATGGTGATATTATATTTTTTTTAAAAATAAAGAAACTGTGTCATCACATTGTACTTATTCAATTTCAGTATATTGATGTGCATTATGTTGAAAATATTTTAATTTTTTTTAAAACTATAACAATTTAAACATATGATATAGAAACTAGTTCTTTTGTGCAGAAATCATCCATTATATATATTCAAATACTACCTCTTAGATGACGGAACTAAATTTTAGGGTTATTCATTGATTTTGTAACAGCCGGGTTCTTGAACAGAACACAATGTCACATAAATCAGTGTTTGATTAGTACTAAGTCGCATAAAGGCTACATCAATATATATAAAGCAGTTCTTTCTTCTTGTCTTCAGCCAGAGCTCAGCAATTAACGTGCACAGATGAGAAATCTGCTGACAACCTGCTGATAACGTGTAGTACTGAGCGCATCTACCCAACCCCTAAATGTCACTTTGAAATAAAACGTAATGGCGTAAGTACGTTTGCTCCACTGGGGTCATCGATGCTATCCAAATCCTTATAGTATTAATAGAGTTTATTGTATTGTATATCTGTGATACTTTTAATATGTTCACCGTGGGTTGATTATACAAGAGAAAATGTACGCAGTGCACTTTAGCGTCAGCATCACTATCAATGATCTTACGACTTTTGTGGGCCTCGGAGCTGCTTCATCACAATATCCTTCCATTAAGTCCAAACCATATCGTTATGTCTCTATCCACGACATGCTAATTAATTTCTCTACAGTTGGACGAGTGAGCGTTTTAGTAATCTCTTTGAAAACGATAAAATACATTTAAAATAAGATTTATTTGGTGAGTTCATTATTTCCGGTTATTTGGCCACAAGCTGTAATTATTTTTGTTATTAATGAGGTCATTTCTTTGCGTTAGTATTAAATGCCTTTAATGATTATGAATCGTATTTTTTGTCCTTGTTTTATAAAAGAATTATAATATATTTGATATATGAATTAAATTAAATTTAGAGTTGAGTATAATAAATTATTTTTATTATATAAATGACCAGACAGTTTTTGTAAAAGAAAAAAAAATTGCTTTACTTAGCAGCGGTATTAGTTACCTTTGAGAGTTCCTCTAACACGATCTCTTCAACAAATCCCTTCGAATCCCGCCCGCAGACACCCGTGAGCACTGAAAACAGTACAATGTCTTACCACTATGAAGAGTTTGGTACTCCCGTGTACTACAAGACGTCGTGCACTCTCAAAGTACCGAGGACGTCCTTGAGCCATCAAGCGTATGACGTCTTGGTGGCCATGTATCCAGATTTGTCAAGGACGGAGACGGACATGGAGTTTGGTACCAACAAGACATTTATTGTTCGAATTGGTAATTTTGGAATGATTGTAGTGTATTGAGGTTAAGAAAGATAATAATACGTGTATTTGAACTAGTGCTTGCCTGTCGCTATATAGGCGTTTTAAAATTATTTTAAAAAAAATAAAAAAAAATAAATCAAATGTAGATTTAAAAGCGCCCCCAAAATGATATAAACAACGGGCCAATTCAATTCAATTCAAAATGACACACTTTTTTTTTCTTCAGATGATGTCAACAAGGTTTGGTCTCAATGGTTGGGACCAGACATGATCGCTTTCATGGTGTCGGCGATTGTGATTGTGATAGTCGTCGCTGTGGTGGCTTGCGTCTGTAGACGGAAAGGTAAAAACAAAACAAGGCAAAGGTACTTGCTTATCGGTTGACACGTCAACCAAAACTGTCTATATCTACTCTTTGTGTAATTTTTTTCCCGTGTTTCCCAGTTAAAAATTAACGCTTAAGATTTCACTTAACACTAATAGCTTTAGTATGTTCATTGTGTGTTGCTGTGTGTGCGGAGATGATAAAAATATGTGAAAAAATCCTTTTATAAGTGAGGTTTCCTGCATTCATTCCCCCCCCTCCCCACCCCCAAGCCTTGAGCAAACCAGTGGAATGCTGCGCTGTTTGTCACGACAGCAAAGGATCACTAAACAGCTACGATGAGATCAACGATGGATACATCCGGGTGGATTATGGAAGGAGTCAGGGCAACGACAAGTACGGCGTCCCCCAAGCCTTTAGCAATCCAGTGGAATGCTGCGCTGTTTGTCACGACAGCAAAGGATCACTAAACAGCTACGATGAGATCAACGATGGATACATCCTGGTGGATTATGGAAGGAGTCAGGGCAACGACAAGTACGGCGGCTACAGAATTCTTACAGCCACAGGGATGCCACGGGATGATGAGGTCAGTCTCGCGGTGGTTGAGCATCACCACTATGAAACCATCGACGGAGAGATCAACGCGAGATGTGACACACATACCACAAGCCCTGTGGACGAATTCAATAAGCAAGTTGAAACGTTTGAAGATGAAGCGAGCGTAGACGACGTTGAAGTTGATACTGTTGATAATGAGGGTAGTTTGAAAATTGTTGAAGTTCATATGGATGATAACGATGGGAGTGTGAAAAGTGTTGAAGTTGATTCTGTTAATAACGAGGGGAGTTTAAAAAATGTTAAAGATGATACTGTTGATAACTAGGGGGTTTTCTGAAATAGGTTGAAATTGATAATGTTGATAACTAACGAGAGGAATGTGACATATGTTGAGAATTGGGCTATGCAAGGGGAAGTAAGTGGAAAAGAAATTCATTTGAAATGATTTAGGGCGGAAAAATAAAATTGAACACAAAATAGTGATGGGGCCGAAATGAACAAACACAATGTTCAAATTGAAACGTTCAGCTCAGTTAGAATCCGAGTTCATAAATTGTTTGCTGATTGTGTGTAATACAAATTAAAATTATTGAAACATTTACAAAATTTCTGTTTTTTTTTTTTTTGTTGTTGTTTTTTTAATACTTAAATACTTTAAAAAACAATACTTAAAGAGATTGATTTTTTTTTTCAAATATTATTATGTGAGGTTAATAGCGGAAAATGTGTACAAATTGGAAGATGTAGCTTTTTAAAAAGAAAAATAATAATATGATATAAACGTCTGCAGACAATGCTAGTAATGCATGATATCCATGATAACTATGTAACGGGACGCAAAGCAGTGTTTGTATTTGTGGGTGTTTAACAAAGGGGAGGGGGGGACAACTCGAACTAAATACAACATTGTTTCGTTACTCAATTGAGTGGCCTCGCTTTAGACTAAGATATGCTAACATCATAGGTGTCTATATATCTATTTGCGAGCTGTACTTTGAGAACTTATTAGTGATTCGTTTATTTGTAATTTTTCTTTTTTTTAAACAAACATTTAATTTTTTTTTTAATAAAGACCCTCTGTCAAAGACTAGTTTAAATGCATTAAAGCGATAAAAATAGTTTCACCCATTCAAATGTATAACGCAATGTGACAGTGTGCAGAAGTATATATATTAGCACCTTATGTTGCCAGAGAATTCGAATTGAATATATACGAAACATAAATATATATTTTGTTATTATTATTTTTTTTTTTAAATGTTCTGCCAATACTGTATTTGCATTTTAATTTTTAAAATTAGTTTTGCTACGTTTTAGCGCGTGTAATTTCGTCTTTAAAAAGAAAATATTTGTCAATAATTTTAAGAAATAGATACGACTTGTTATTAGCTACTTTTGTGTCTGTATACTGTTGACAAAAGAGGTATTATTTATTATTATTATTATTTTTTATTGTTGTTGTTGTCTGGAGTTCACTCCCCACCAAAGCCAAGACAAGTAAAAACATCAAAGCCAAGCCGGGTCGATGGGACTCGTTAGCCTTGGATGGCAACTCATCTAAGAGAAGCCAAACTGTTAATTTTAACCAAGAGCCAGAATGATCATTAAGTTGATCATTAAATCGATTGTGGACCCTGAAATAAAGAAAAAGTGTGGGGGGGGGGAATCTGTTATTTAAAGTAAGAGTCCTATAATAAAAACAACAATTTCACCAATCCTCATATATCAATTCGACACTAAACTGACACCAATGCTAAGAACGACTGCTACGAAATTTTTTTAACAGTTAAAATCTCCACAAAATTATAGGTCACACACACCTTTTCATAATAATTATACCTACGCTGATACATATAGAACTTGGCTGGAAAATTATTTTTTTTTTTTTAAACCTTAAAATAATTTGTAAAAATCATTCTTTTTACGCTTTCTCATGCAGAGTTTCTCAAATTTTGTTCTGCGGACCGTCAAAACTGACAACAATGCTAAGAAAGACTGCTACGAAATTTTTTTAACAGTTAAAATCTCCACAAAATTATAAGTCACACACACCTTTTCATAATAATTATACCTACGCTGATACATATAGAACTTGGCTGGAAAATTATTTTTTTTTTTTTAAACCTTAAAATAATGTGTAAAAATCATTCTTTTTACGCTGTCTCATGCAGAGTTTCTCAAATGTTGGTCTGCGGACCGGCGCAGGTCCATTAGACATATGTTGCCGTTTCGTACCTTAATATTTATTGTGGGAAAAAAAAAAAAGAAAATGTAATTAATAAATATGGCTCCGGTCGCTGTTGCAATTTCGAAACATGTCCGCTGGTCTGGCAAACTAAAAAGTTTGGGAAACGCTTGACGAATGTAATTTTTATTGTTTAAAAGCAGTATTAGAAAAGTATGTAATATGCTACCCCCCCCCTAAAAAATAGAAGCCCAGAAAAAATTCTTCTTATCTTTGAAATCGCACCGATCTGACTAAAAGCTAAATAAAATGCGTACATAAAAATTAATGGCTGCGACTATTCCTCCCCGGGTACGAGAAGTAAGAGGTTGGGATTAAAAAAAAAAATTTAAAATATTATTGTTGGGTTTGTAAGACAAAATGAGGTATCAATTGAAATATATTTGAATGGACTATATGTCTGTAAACTTAATTCTTCGCTTAACTGAAATAAACTACCACAAATGACAACCGAATAGCTTGAGTCTAATGGTACCCGGGTGCGAATGGCGGCACTCCGTGACTGAGGCATTTCGTCCCCGGGAACAAGATTAGTTTTAGACGCCCTTCAATACTTATAATTATAATTATTATCCATTAAACTCAATTAAAATACTTTTTTGGCAACTATAACGGGTCTGGTGCCCGGGGACATCCGCTCACTTCTGCCCACCTTAGCTACGCCACTTCTTTTCCCCATGCACTTCATTATACCACAATCCTAAACAACAACTGCCTAAGAATCATGTTTCAACTTGAATAAATGAATGGTAAAAATAACAATTTGCGAGGTGAATAATTCATATATAAGGTTTAATTCAGTAGTCGTCTCCCTTTAATTATTTATTTATAAGTTAAAACCCTTTCCTATTAAAAAAAAAAAAGATACATTTTAAATACAAAAAATACTGCAGAAATAGAATAGGTTGTAAGTAGAAATATTAGGTTGCAAAATATAACAGGTTTATTCAAAAAATAATAACTGTTACTGTTTAATACTAGCGTATCACACACTTATTAATAGACGTATTAGCACAAGTCTATTTACGGTATATAAAACCACCGTAATAATAATAATAATATAAAGCTCGCTTAGTTCCCCAACTTATTTATCATCGTATTCATTTAAGTTCTTTTTTACTCGCACATTTCAGTTTAGGCAGACATTGTAAAGGGGTAGGAATAGTACAGACATCAGATAGGGGGGAGATAACTCACAAAGACAGGGATAGCGAAGGGAGAACGGTCATACTCAACATTACAGACAATAGAGACACTTACACATTGGTCAATATATATGCCCCTTCACAGCACACAGAAAAAACACTATTTTACAACACACTAGTACAAACACTGAGATACTCACACAAAAGGGGAAAGGTCATTTTGGGAGGGGATTTCAACTATATAGCAAGCAGTTTAGATACAACAAACCCAAAAAGAAAAGATAAAATTTTAGAAGAAACAACAGGTACAGAAATAATACAATACATAACAGAGACATATATAATAAGTTTGACGCATACAGAACACTACACAGGGATGGGAAAGAAACAACATTTACATGCAATACTTTCAACACCAAGGCAAGAATTGATAGGTTCTATATTCCAACAGTAGATACGATAAATGAAGCAAAACGCATTCCAGAAACAACAGACTTTACAGATCACAAAGGAGTGAAAATTACAATAAATACAACAAGATCAAGCATCATAAAAAAATCCCCACATTGGAAATCTAACAATTCACTTTTAGAAAACAATCAGTACACAGATCTCATTAATAACGTAATAAAACAATATAGCACACTACCCAAAACAGACATAGGACAACACTGGGAACTTTTAAAATCCACCATCAAACATATCACACAAAACTTTGCAACAAGCTTACACAGACAACTCAGAGAAAGAGAAAAAGAATTAGAGATACTCATACCATCAGAGAAAGCAAAAAACCCTTTCAACCCCCAAATACAAGAATTAAAAGAAGAACTAGAAAAAATTAAACAAAATAAATACAATGGGGCACATGTTAGGAGTAGAACATTCACTAACAACCAAGAGGCGCCTACAAAGATCTTTCTAACAATAGAACAAAACATACAAAAAAGTAGACAGATAGGACAGATCGTTGACACAAAAGGGGAAACACACACAGAGACGCCAAATATCGTAAGCACATTTGAAAAATACTACACACAACTTTTTGGAACAGATAAAACTGAATCAGATGTACAAGATTCGTACACACAATTTACACAAAAGCTAAATAAAATTAAAACACAAGAAATGGACAAAACTATTACATTAGTAGACATTAAAACATCCCTGTCCAGCATGGACAAAAATAAAACACCTGGGCCAGATGGCCTTACAACGGAATTCTACCTTTTCTTTTTAAAAGCACTTGGACCAATTGTACATGCCACACTAGAAGAAGCTTACAGCAACAATGAGTTACCACATTCAATGAATACGTCATACGTAACGCTTTTACCAAAAAAAGATACAGACCGAACACGACTTAAAAATTACAGACCCATATCTTTACTTAACACAGACTATAAAATTCTCACAAAAACTCTAGCAAATAAAATTAAAACAACATTTAAATACTTTAATACATATAAACCAACAATGCAGCATCAAAGGTAGGGACATCCAGAACCACAATCATTTCATTAGAGACTTTATTCAATATTCAAATGATAAAAACATCCAAACTTGCATATTATCTCTAGACCAAGAAAAAGCCTTTGATAGAGTAGACCATAAAATACCTACATAAAATATTACAACACAACAAACTAGGGAATTGCTTTTGTAATTGGGTAAAAATTTTATACAAGTCCCCCATTAGTAATCTTATAATTAACAGCACACTTTCTAAAGACATTAAAATTGACAGATCAGTTAGACAAGGGTGTCCCCTTTCCCCTTACCTTTATATCCTATCCTTTGAACCTTTGTTAGAGAGCGTTAGAAGGGAGGAGAGTATTAAAGGAGTAAGGATCCCTGGAGGTAATGAAACGAAAGTCATTGCATATGCAGATTACACAATTTTCTTTCCTATTGATGATACGTGTTTTTCAAAAATAATATCAATATTTCAAGAATTTGGAAGAGGTAGTGGGTCTAAAATAAACATAACTAAATCTGAAATTATGGGGATAGGTAAGTGGAAAGATAGACTAGATTTCTCTTTAGAAATCTTAAGGAAAGATAGTCTTAGGATATATATATACACAGCACACACAATTTTTGACCGGAGCATATCATAAACACATATGTAATTCCTAAAACAATATAC